GTAATTTCATACTCATAAATCTGTGATTAGGATTAGTAAAGTTGTAACTTGCATTCGTTACTTCTAAACTTGTATTTTCACAGAAGAAACATCTGACAAACATATGTATGATCAACAAGAAACAAATAAAAAAACCTATGTTAACATATACTGACTTTTACAATTTTAGACAGCTATGGATGTTTTGATTGACATTTATCTTACCTCATAGAACTCCCCCCCCCAAAAAATGTGTTTACCTGTTCATCCGATACTGAACGTTGAGCTGCACCACGGCCTCACTATGGAGCTCTAGACGTTTAAACAGACTCTCATCCATCCCAAGAGACCTTAAGGAGCAGAAAAGAATTGCAGCATTAGCATCAGATTATTAAGGTGCAGGCGGATATTTTTTTAGTCAAAATCCCCATCAAAGTACACCTAATAACAATGATAGTACCTTGCTTCCTGGTTCTGTACGATAGGAGGCAGCTGCTGATGGTCTCCAACCAGAACAAACCTCTTGGCATAGAAAAGCGGCCCCAGACAGATTGGCTGGCTGATCTGTGACGCCTCATCTACGATGCAGAAGTCAAAGCGCCGCCGGGTGAAGATTGGATGCTTGATGCCCATACATGTCGTTGCTACTACGAGCTGAAACGATGACAGATGAAAAGTTTACATCCTTAAAAATCCTCATGGACCTGCAATCTACTCTGGAACCAAACCAGCTGTGGCTCCTCACTTCTTTACTGTACAGCTGCTCCAGCTCTGCAAGCGTGTGGACGTCCCTCTTCCTTGCACTCTCCTCTGTGTAAGGCAGAATCTCCGGATGAACCTGGAACAAGTTCACGTCCATCATTAATTATCGTACTGGTTGTAAGGCATACCAAATACCAGCCGCTGACAATGCTGCACCTTTTGTCCCTGGCCCAGACGCAAAAACCCGACCCGGAAACGTTTGAGCTTCAGGAGGATATTGTCTACAGCAGAGTGTGTGTAGCTGGTGAGCAGTACACTAAATCCACAGGCATGTAGGATACGGACCTGGGTTGCAGAAATGATAATGAGGGGAAATCAGGATGTTCTGATATTGAACAGAGTTATAGTTCAGGTTTGATGGAGAGTTACCAGAGTGCAGATGGTCGTAGTTTTGCCGGTGCCGGGCATACCGACAATAAGCGTATAGTCTTTGGACAGCAAAACCTTTTTCATGGCCTGTTTCTGTGGTTTGTTGAGCCCTAAAAACAGAAGTGAGCAGATATAAATGCAGAAAACATTTTGATAAATGCAAAATTGTATATATGGAAGAACAATGTTTGTGAACATTTAACGGTGGAGGTAGAATCATGCTATAGGGATTCAGAAAGGGGTGGGAAATATGGTCCAGCCTGAAAGATGGCCTGTCTAAAGATAGAAAATGGGGTGCAGGTTTACCCTAAACATGCGGCCAGAGAATGGCTAAATCAAAGTCAAGCCTTTTAACCAACTTTTACCCAGTGGCAAGACATGAAAACTGACATTTTGATACATTAAAATCCTAATAATGTCTATTGAAGGCAGAGGCTGTAATGCAAGTAAATGAAATGGAGTTCTAGGAACGTGAATATATTTGAAAGGCAGAGGATTAATTGAAGATGTCACTCAGACTTGTCCTTATAGGAAAACCTGTCAAGGAGCAACAGCGAAGAAGGTTTATAAGTTTTCTATTTGAACTGAATGTTTCATAAGCGATGGATCCACCTGAGCATTAGATCCTATACAAAAGCAGAGCTGAAGCACCTTTGAGGATGTTTGCCACTGTGTCCTTGGCCTCTCTGGGCAGAACAGAGCTGAGGTTGGTGATAAACTCCGGAGGTCGAAGGTCAACAATCAGCTCCCTAAGACGCAGGCTGCTTACAAAAAAAGTAAAGGTTTGAGGACATGTATAAAAAATTCTGACCATATCTGAAGATGTTATGATCACATTCCCCTGGTCTCACCTGTCCTGGGAGTTTTCCATCAGCCTGGACAGATTGCTGAGGTGAGTACTGAGACCCACCACTCCTTCGTCACTATCCAGTCGGAAAATCACACCTCTGAACTTTGAAAGGTCTCTGTTTAATACGAGGACAAGAAAACCCTGGTAAAAAAGCGTCTTTTGAGCACAGCCAGATAACCCTTAAATATGGAGCCCACCTGTCCAGAGTGCAGCTAACCGACGCCCTGCTGAGCTCTCTGAGGTATCCCGTTGCTAAGCCAATGAGACGACCTTCCTGGTCGCTGACAACAATGCGATCTCCACTGGTCAGACCGCAGTGGGTTACACCCTGCTGCGGGGCAGCACTGCTGCGTAGGAAGCGGTGGAGGAAGACCCCTTCAGACTGAGCGGTCACTGAGCCACTGAGCTGCACATTCCCCACACAGCTGCCGTTCTTCTCACTGTGCAGAAATAAGGCAGAAACATGCAGTGTGAAATATATAAATGTGAAATGTGAAAAGATTAGAGCTGAATATTATCAGGCTGCCCTTGTTGCTTTATGGTCTATTCTATAACACAGAAACCTACAAGAGGTCATCCTCTAAAGATCACAGTGTGGGAAACAAACCATCCTATGTTTAGATTTCTAAATCGTTGATTTGTCTTTAAAGAGGTTTGTAGGAGCTTAGCTGAGAAGTAAAGCAAGTCATGTCCGTGGTTTACACAAAACAATTTCACAAAGTTTAAACTGCGATTTCAGAGTTTTCTAAAGAGATTTTAAAAATGTAAAACCACTTAATACAGATCATGTGTCCTTTCAACTGTTTAAATTGTGTTATTAGGTGGAAGAACACGCACACACACCCTACCCTAGAAAATTCTTCCTGATGCATAACTACGTCCAAACTTGCAGACAATTTCCTCTCTGTTGATTCAATTCTGATGTTATTTCTGTCAGCCCAAATATGTTCAGATTCAAAGATTCTCTCCTTATCGTCCATTATTGTAACCATCCCTTCTTTGTGGCCATAATGGCTGCAGTGATTGTGTGGCGACTTCGTGTCCGACTTTCTAAATATGGGCAGAAACCTAAGCCCCTGGATATTGAATTTGTATTGCCTTGAATTAATATTTATTGGTGTAATTGAAAACTAAATTAATTGGTATTAAAATGAAATGCACTTAACTGAAACTGGATGTTATGCTTTGAAATAATTAGCTTTGTTTTTGTACAGAAAATTATTTTTTTTGTAGGACAACTGGGTAAAGTAATAAACAGATTTACAGACCGATATTTCACATCAGGTTCAGTTTATTTTTAACCACATTTTGAGCTGAAGCTCTGGAGCATATATGAGCTTAGTGATGCAATAACCATGGCTTTCCTCATGACAAACAGAACATGGCACAGGCACATGATACTTTGCTAATTTAGCGACTGTAGCTAACAGCTCAATGTAGCTGTCAAGTTAGCCCCAAGCCCATTTTATTTTTTTATGCACAGTAATTTAACGTTAATAATGCGCTCATGTGCCCTTCTCTGCTGGATCCTAAACCCCCCGAAATGTAACTTGTTATAAAATAATCAGTTTTTTTTAACAACTTTGGCTTAAAGACCCAATTGTCTGACAGAAGAAACCAAATATAGGAGTGCAAATTAAAATAGACATTTCAAAGCCAATTAATTCATTTTAAATTTAGTGTATTTCATCATGTATTTTCAAATTATATAACCAGATTCCTGCACCCATAGACTGCTGGAGATGTGGAGATTGCACAGGCCCACCATGACCCTGATGGAGAAGATGGATGAACAAATTCAGTCACAGAAATTTATAATTCTGTTTCTGATGGTCAAAGGTTTCTAACTATAAAAGGTGTAGAAATCTTTAGCAGGATCTGAAACCTTTATAGTATTTAATAAAGACATCAGACTTTAACACAAAGGTTTCTAAAACCAAAGTGTCACATAAACTGTGGTGTTTTGCACAGTTTAAAAAAATATAACTCAGTAACAAAGGCTCCCATTAATGAAAGCTCAGGCTTATTCACTACCTTTCCTGAACCGACTGCAGCCAAACGCGCTTTCGGCCATTTTTGGCCTCCATGGTGGACGCCTCCAGGCTGCAGAGCAGCAGCCAGTGAGCGAAGTAGTCCAGATGTGGCAGAGTCAGGTGGGTGGTCTCTTGCTCCAGAAAGGCCCGCACAGAATCCTCATGGACATCTGTAGAGGTGGGGTCCACCACTCTAAAGAAAGGATGAAGACATGATGAGATATAGGAGGAAAAACAACAGCTAGAAAAATGGGTTTTACAAAAGCTTACCTCTCATATAAAGCACAGTTTAGCTTTTGAGGGCAATACTGGCAGCTCTTTCTGTCAGTCAGGATCTCAGGAAGACTGGACAGGCGACTCCGATCAGATCCTCGCTCCACGCTGTGACTAATGTGATGGACCAGGCTGTTCCTCAGCTTCAGCAGCTCTGAGGAAAAAGCCCCCCCGACAGAAAGCATGACTGTCACAGTCTGGGCTCCTTTCTTAATAGAGTGAATACTAATCAAAAAAGTAAACCTGTTCTTATTCACATTTCAACATGACACAACTACAAACAAACATTTTATTGGCCGTTTATGAGCTACTGATATTAAGTAGTGCATAATTATGAAACCAGAAGGAAAATTATATTAGATTCAATGAGATTTTAAAACCAAAAATCTGTTCTCTGCCAAAAAGAGTAAAGAACATCTTCCACTTCAAATACAGTTTCAAGCTTTTTGAGAATTTATCCATCAGCTCTGGACATCTAGAGAGGGAAATATTTACAGACTGGTTAATGAAAACTGTCAGACTGAATGGAGAGCATCACGAATCCTCTGTTAAATTAACATCCAGAGTTTGACCAGGCCATGTTATTTCTAATAGGTAGTGCTGTTGTTGCACCCCAGTCACGTGACCGCTGCCAGCGAGATCTCGTTACATCACTCTTGGTGTCGAGCTTCAAAATAAATTTAAATCATCTGGGTGTTTCAATACTACTGAAACATTTACAGTAAATGCAGCAGAATTGCAGCTCAAACCACGTTTTTTTTTTCTTCATGTTTTTAGTTTTATTTGAAGACAGGAAACGAAATGTTATATTTAAGTCAAGTTTAGAATTGAGTCAGAATAGTTCACTTCATCCAGATAGATCTAAAATAGATAGAGGCACACACATCTCTACCCACCAGTCATCCACAGATTAATTTATAAGAGATATTTATTCACATGGCGCATCTAAGAAATTATTGTTGCTTCTCCTTTAATACGATCATCATCTGTCAGAACCACAGCAAGAGCGTGGAGAACCGGTGGAACCTACTGGGCACAGAGTTGGTTCCAATCATTTAAACTATCAGTACTATTTAAAGGATAATGTATTGATGCAGTTATATGGTCATAGGTGCAGCACAGTCAAATTACGCTGCACAGTCTGAGAAGTGTCCTAATTAACATAAATTAGCATAAAAAAAAATAAATAAATAAGAAATAGAGACGGGATTTAAACTCAAACTCTGTCAATTGAGAGGCATAGCTTGGAAACCAGGATTGATAGGACCACACCGTCACATAGCTGTTATGCATCAGAAGAGCTGTTTATCATGTTGCATTTCACAGGTCAGATATTAGTTTATTATTATTTATGTATATAATCATTGCAACACTATTCTTATTGAACAAACAAGTTCAGCCCGGAAATAATGCAGACATTAGGGGAGTCACTTAATTGTAGTTCTGACAGCTATCCAGCAGATGCCGCCATTCTAAACTGTTTTAAATGAGTCCTGTATGGTGTGTTTTGGCCAATTGTTTCAAATTGGTTCATGGGGCTTTGAAATTTCCATCACATGTTCTATTCTTGTATGTTAAGAGTTGTTTTCCTGATGAAAGGCAAAACTCTGCCATCGTTTCAAGACATTTGCAGCGTGCAAGAAGTTCTCATCAAGTCTTAGGATCAGAAGAACAACAAAAGGAAAAGGATGATGCTACCACCATGCTTTACATTTCATAATCATGTCAATAATCACTGTTTTGGTCTAAAATCCGTCTAGATTCTGTGGTTGTAGGAGGATGAAATGCATAAAAGCTGTAGTGTATAAGATTTTCTGCAGATGTGTGATCCCACTGTACCTCGGTGGTCCATGTGGCTGGCAGCTACAGGATGCATGTTACCCGTCTTCAGGTAAAGCAGAAGCCCGATATCAGGACTGTATCTCTCCATGCTCATCAGAGTATACAGAATCACCTGCACACATAAAGCATCCCACATTTACATGACAAATAAAACCACAGTTTTCCACATGACCTGAAAAGCCAAGCAGCTCCACCAACCTGACTGCGATGTTCTATCGAGTTCGACTCCCTCCCAGTCTTCAGCTCCAAAGGGACTGTCTTTTCCTCAGGATTTCTGTGGCTTTCGTTTCGCGGCCTTTGGATTCGAACCCTCGCCGTCACGTCTATTTTCCCCTTGAGGCCAAATCTTGGGGACCAGATATTCTCCTCTATGTCTGCCAGTTCGGACAGAGTGAAAGCAGCAGCTGGGGCCTGGGACCTTTTTGAACCTCTGCTGCTGTTGGGACTGGAATCAAGCCAGCAAACATGACAATCAGCCAATTACCAAATGCTTGTAATTGTTGTCTTTTAAAGAGAGTCTTACATTTTAGGGCTGATTGGTTTTGGCGTAGAAGAACAGAGGTATTCATTGGCCCAGTGCTCCAATGATGGCAAATATTCATGAAGTTCCTGCTTCATCTCCTCCTGACTTACTCCTAGTGTATACCTGTGAGCACATAGATGAAAACAAATGGAAAAACATGAAGAAAATCAGTGAGGTGATTTATTTCAACCACATACGTGGTCCTCAGTGCTATTTTTCCAGTTAAGATATTTCACATTACCAGATGTCAAACATGTATCAGCCTCTTCAAATACTCTGATTGCGGTTTTAATTAGTATAACGTTACACAGCCTGCAGCTGTTATAGAACAATCCCTCCACATACATGTCTCCAAGGTAACGAGGACTGCACAGCGCCTCATCAGCCAGCCGGGAAAGGTTGTGCAGAGAGAAGTCTTTGGTTGTAGCTGCTCTCTGGAAAACTTCATGCACCATGGTCCCATTAAGCATCTGCTTAGAGCCGCCGTCGAAACTCTGCATTAAAGTAAAGAGAATTAAAGGATGTTTTTAAAACCTTAAAAGCCTATTGAATGTGACCTGGTGGACAAAACACAAATTGATTAATGTCATTAAGTCTCTAAAGTAAAGATTTATTGTAGGAATCACTGACAAACAAGTCCAAGACACTTACTTTGAACACTTCTCCAAGCACCGCTCGCCTCATGCAGCGGATAGAGTTGGAGATGGTGGTACCTGAGATGAGGCTGTCGGGCTGTAGAACCAGGAAACCCTGCTCTCTGTCCACCAACCAGTCCCCTCCATTGGGGCAGCCCTCCAGATGAATCACATCACCACGACAAACAGGGGTCAACTCCCTGCAGAGAGCCAATAAGAGAGGACAATTTGGAATTGCTGCACAATGCTGAAACACACGAGAACCAGTGATGTTGGCAGTAGATGGAAAACTCAGCATCTTTTCAATGGTTAATTATCGACCTCTTGGAAAAATATAATCAGATTTTTTACAACACCCAAAACTATCAGTAAAGTTAAATTTATTGTTTAACCGTGTTGGAGAAATTGTGGAGCATTTTAATGTTAACCATGCACATATTTTCTCTGTCTCTGTTCTAAAATTACACAGTTCTGGAACAAAATACGCAACAAATTTTAACAAAATTGGGTTACACAACACCTAATACCTCTGGTTTTATATCTTGGCCTTTTGGAGAATGTTGTTCTTAATAATTTGTGTTATTTTGTTTAAAATTCTGTTGGTGGCTGCCAAAAAGGTAATAACTAGGAAGGGGTGCCAATCTGATCCTCCCACCACAAAGGAATGGATACAGACTGAACACATTATATGAGATGGAGATTCTAACACATAGACTGAGGACACAAGAAGAACAATGTCAAGACAAATGGGAAAAATGGATAAACATCACATCAACATTACAGGACTAATTTGGGTTAGGATGGGTGCCCTTGATCTTTGTGATACTGGAAGAAGAGTCTCCCTCTAGATTGTTATATTTGTTTGTTCTTCTCTTTTGTAACTTCTAAATATTGTTTGATTTTTCTTATTGACTGTATTCTACAAAGTTCAATAAAAAAAACCCGAAAGAAACACTGTGGAACAAAATCAAAATTTTTTGGGGGGGTTATGGGCTAACATAATGCGGTGTGATGGTCACAGGGACAGTATGTTTTAACACATGGCAGGATAAATATATTGGTTTTGACAATATAAGAAAACATCAGTTCCAATTATAGTGCGCATATTTGGTTAACTTTTGTATATTTAATTTTGTCAAATGCTTAATATTGTTTGTTTTCTTTTCTGCTGTTGAGGAGAGTACCTTCAACTGGGAGAATGCAAAGGACTCTGTAAGGCACCTTTGACTGATTGGGTCGTACCATCTGGAGTTCCACTATGGGGGAAGACCATGGATTTCACATTTTAATATGCTGCATAATCTTTTTGTTCTTTTGCTTTTGTGATTTGCTTTGATTTTGTTTAATTATGATCAATCTAAGTTTAATCCTTAAACTAAAGGTTTAGTAATTTTTTCTCAAATGGGTGTAGATGTTCTCCCTACCTCTTCCTCAGTCAGTCAATCTGATCAGACAGTATTTAGGTCCCCTTTGTTTGCTGTGTGTCAGGTTTGTTTGTGCAGTTAGTTTGAGATGTTTCTTGCCTTAAGTTAGTCTCTTCGTTTACCTCTTTTAAGGGCCCTGTCATTATAGTTTTAATTCTTGTTAAAACCCATTTTCTTGATAATCCCCACTGTGTCTTCATGCTCGGTCCTTCACATGTACAAAATCACCTTTTGCATTCATGCTTTTGAGTGCAAAAGTGTGTAAGAGATGAAAGGATGATTGCTGTCTGAACAGTTCTGGTATTAAGGAAGGAGATAGGAAAAGGAAGCAGATTGCTTCCTATGATGATTAAGCACAGTAGATTTAGCATGAAATGACAATATTTTATGTTTTGGAAAACCAAAGGCAGCCGTTTTTTGCAAGTGGACAAAAAAGATTAACACCATACAAAATATGTTATTATAAAGCTGCCCCGAGAGCTACATAAAACTAAATGGAATAAATATTACGTGTAAGGGTAAAGAGAGCATTACCATCCATCTTTAAGCAGGCAGGTCTCAGTTGGACGAAGAGATTTGCAGCATGAGATGATCAGCGTTTTGTTGCCAGGTCTCTCCTGAACATCCAAAACCATATAGCGGTTATTTAGTCCCCCAGAAAGGATCACATGGTCCGGTACCTTGCTGGAAAAACAGAAAAGTTGCTTTTTAAATAGGCTAAAAAAAAAAAAAGGGAATATATTCATGTGCTGGTGAAGGGCCTCAGTCATTCAGGTCATAGTCAATCCAAAAGTTTGAAGAAGTTTCGCTTCCCATCCAGGAAGCTTTTTCAATTCAGAATGTCAGAAATAGTGTTGAGTTTGAGGCTTTATAGAGTGGACCAAGTTTCTAAGCCAAAACAAGGCCTTGGGTTTTGGTTCACTCTATAAAGCCTTGAACTCACCGCTATTTCTGACATTCTGAATTAAGAAAAGCTTCCTGGATGGGAAGCGAAACGTCTTCAAACTTGAAAACAAAGTCCAGATTTTTTTATTTTTTTTATCTTTTTTGGAAAGAAATATATTCATGTAACTTTTAGTCAAACTTAACAGGCCTCTTTGGCTGCTACAATGAGGTAAGACGTTTCTTACAGTGGCTTCTTGGCTTTATCCTTTTTGGCTCCATCATCATCCATTAGGTCATCAAACCAGCTCTCTTCAAAGGCCTCCTCAGTGGGACAGACGGGTTCTGGTCCCGATTCATCTGGTTGATGTATAGGAGAGCAACAGTAACATTAGCAAACATGCCCGAGAGCTTAGAGTTACAGTTATTAATATGACAGGGCATGTTTACTTTATGTGAAGGTATATTTGCACAGCTAATGCCTTTAAAGGCAATGTTATATGGATATATTAAATATCTTTAAAAGAAATTTTAATAATAAAAGAATATTTTCCTCCATAAGCAACAGCTGCCATTGTCATGCTACTTTAAAAAAACCAATGAAAATCTACAGATCATTGCCAAAGAAACATGGTATTCTCTAAATCTCATTGGACGGGTGTATCAGGTGGACGCCAATGAACAGAGCATATTTGTACCTCTGCCTTTCTCCTGATCTGTGGAGCTCTTTTTGTTCCCATCTCCAAGCGTTACCAGCGTAGCCTTCCTCTCTTCTCTGTCCACCTCCAATTCTACGGCGAGTCTGTCTGCCTGTGGGCTTCTTTTATGTGGAAGACTAGCAGAGGTGCAAGTCTGCTTATTTAGGAAACTCTGCACATTTCTGTCGGTTTGTGGCTCTGCTATCAGAGTAAAACACGAATCGGCCTCACGTTGTCGTTGCTCCTTATGTTTTGTGTCTCCTGTTTGGTCAGCAGACAGAGGAAGTGTCTTCAGAGGACCAGCCAATAGCCTTTCTTCTTTCAGGCTGATGCCTGGACAATCTAACAAAGTCTTTGTTGGTGACGTTCTTGCCTTCTTGGCATGGTGGGTTTCTTCACTGGGGCTGAAGAGTCTCTTCAAAGAGCCAGATAATGTGCTTCCACTCTTAATCATTTCTCCTTTCTCTGTCATCTTTTTCCCCACTCTTATACTTTTGGAGCTGGGACTTGGACAGATCAGAGAACGCTGGCATTGCTTTGGCTCGGAGCTTGATGGACCGCCCGCTCTGGAGGGAGAAGGAAGGGAAAGTCTGATCTGACTACTGGGGGTCTCTGGCACAGAGAGAAGGCCAGGGGAGGGGGGAAGGAGGTTTTCCAGGTCCCCGAGAATACTCCTCTTTGGAGGGGTGTTTAGTCTGAAATTAACATCGTCTTCCACATCTTTTATCCGAGGCTCAGCCTTGCAGCGTGGACTACCTCTAAGGGAGACCTCATCCTGTAATGAGAAAGGCTGGAAAACAAAATTAGTGGATCATTCTAAATGCAAAATAATAGTCATCTGTAGTTTTACAAACAGGGAGACAAACTCCCAAACTTTCATGCAAACACACAATAGAATATGGTTGTCTAACGCTAAAATACAGTTCTATCCACAAATATTCATAATATCCCAAATTATTCTAATCACAAACCAGAATTAGTTTATGTGATAAGCTAACAAAGAATAACTGTAGAGGAAGGAAAATGTATAAACCTAACAAATAAACAAAAAAGTGTTTTATTTCTATTATATTCAGAACTTATTAGTCTGACATTACTAAATAAAATAAAAATAAGGCCCTTTAATATCAAAAAGTCATCACATAGAGTTTGTCATTTAACCTCAGCCTAAAGGGGGCATAGAATGATTCTATAGGGAATTGGGGCCGGCCCCTCAAGGCCCCGAAAAAGGGGGGGAAAAATGGGTGGGCCGAAAAAGGCAAAAAAATGCCGGTTTTTTTGTTTCTGTTTTTACAGTGTCCTGTCTGGCAATGTGGCAATAAGAATAATTGTCTTGATGCCAAAAAGAGCCCAACAGATTGTACTTTCACAAGTGTAGCAGTACGGCAATTGCCATATTGCTCCACTTAGTAGTTGGTGTTAGTTGCTGTTCTATGAGCACTAATGCAAGTTTGGTTATAATGAATCGACAGGTTTCCTTCCTTTTATGGTATGCTCATGAATATTTAGATGAGCTGTGCGCTGATTGGTTGGTTTGCAACGATTGAAGTTACCAAGCAAAGATGCATCATTGCAACAAGCACTCACTCACTGAAACATCAAATTGTTGATATGGTAGGGTGACCAGACGTCCTCTTTTTCCCCCAGACATGTCCTACTTTTCATACCTAACAAAAATGTCCAGGGGGAATTTCAAAATCGTCCGGGAATTAGGTCGACTACAGTGCAGCAGAACCGAGCCGTCAGCTCCGGGGCTGGTCTGGGAACCCCAGCGGAAAGGGGTAAGGGAGCCGGCGGGGGATGGAGCGACCGAACCCGACCGGGACAGCCTGGACACAGGCGGCACCATGCTTCCCCCTCGCCTGCCTTACTGGCCTCCAACTTGAACTGTCCAATATTTTGAAAGCTGTCTTCAGTGAAATGCTTAGAGCAAATGAACAGCTGAGCATCAAACTTTGCAGGGATCTTCTGATAGATAGAAATAATCCATGCCTGTCGAGTCTTCAGATCCTTGGGAAGACTGTGAAAATTTTCCCCTTTCTCCGTGCAGCCTGGAACGCTGCATTTACGCCCGTTGTGGCTCATTTTCAATAGAGGAACTGCCTGCTTTGTAATTCATGTAGACGTAAACCCAACTGTAGGCTAAACTGCTAAACTGATGTCTTACATCTACCTCTATTCATGTTCTTGGGCCGTGAACTAGTGGGCTGGTCTGTATGTTAATTTCAGGGAATGACAAAAGTACAGGCCAGAACCAAATAAGACAGCATCCCCAAGTTTACGTCAACTTGGTGCTTCGTTTGTATTCACCCGTTTTATGGAGGAAGTTTAGAATTGTGAGATTTGCAGAGAAAGGAGGTGTCGATGGGGTTGGAACTTCTCTGTACGTCCATTTCACTCTCTGAACTATCCTTATTCATCTATGACAATGTAAACTCAGTTTTGCATTCAATGACCCCTTTAAATAAACTTGGGAGGTATTCCATAAAACCAGCTCAGAGAAGTCAGACTTAGACGACGACATATCGAGCCACGATTACTGGGTTTCACTAAAAGGATGTCTGCTTTGCTTAACGTCCCTCGTTCCGGTTTATTTGTTCCCAACATTTAATCAGTTGTAGCAACTTCGATCCACCAACAGAGCCGCTCCTGGCTGATAGCATATAGTATACTAGAAATTTCCATAATCCAGTAATCTGTCATATTTTACATTAGAACGGGATTTTCCAGAAAGTCTAAACTCTCATCTTCACCCTCAGGGCTAAGCCCCTGATCTCCTAGAATCCTAGATCCTCCCCTGCTGAGGAATGACTTGAATTTTGATAATCAGACACCTCAAACAGTCCAAATCAGATGGGTCAGGTTTGCTGATGTCTGCACAAACATCTCTGTGTTTATGTCATCTTACCAAAAACACAAAGTAAAAGTTTCTAAATAAAGCGCATCTAAGCAGATCTTACCGTTTGGGTTTTGGAGCAAAAGAATGAAGAGATGTTCTGCTGCCCTGCAGCAACCTGAGACAAAACAATAAAACCAGGAACAAGTTAAACGAGGAAATCAAGCCAAATCAAGAAAACAGCAGGATTTATATCCATGAAATAAAAAGATGTTTTGTTTACATGTAGTCTTAAAACTAGAAAAGTCTACTTGGTTGTGAAGAAAAAAATAAAATAAAATAAAGAGGCAAATAAAATATAGAACAAGTATTCACCTCGCAAATAAGTTGCACTCTATATTCATTACAAAAACAGTGACCCACCTTGGTCTTCTTTAATTTGTTTCTGTTCATAGTGAAGGTAAATATCAGCTCTGTATCTGCTTAGTAGAGAATATCCCAGCAGACACTAACGGCTCCATAAACACAAACAGCTGCTCAGCATCACTAACCGGTCCACCTCAAAACACCGCCGGAAAATTACTATGATTTAATGCTGAAACCATAATAATAAGAGGGCTTATAGCGATTTCTAAGTTTAATTATCCGCCAGGTGCTCCTGTGTTCGGTTAAAAGTCAGTGGCGCGAAATGTTTAGTTTCGCGCAACGGAAGTGACGTCCAAGGAAATTGGCGGCTCCATTCAAAGCAGCCGGCGCAGGGTCTGGTCAAATATGAGGATGAGCGGCAAGGGAGGAGATAGAGGCTACGGTACCGTCTACGATAAACTAGAAATCAAACTTTTAGGTTTTTTTTCCCCAAATAGAGGTGAGGGTTTTATAAATAGTCTCTCCTTTAGAGTTCTAATCAAACTTGACCAGTCAAGTTATAAAAGTGGATGGTCAAAGTTGTAGTAAGGGTAACAAACACCTGAAAAACATTTGTTTATGCCAACAATCTAGTTCTATAAAACAGTCTGCCACTCAGCGTTTGTAGCCATGAGGTGTCCCAACTATGGAAAGCCATTCTGTATTTCATTTCGCACTTACCAGCATCACCTGACATATTATAAACACTGTCTGGGTTTTTAAGAAATTTAACAC